CCCCGACCTTTCCAAGCATGATGCTGTTTTCCCCAAGGACCAACTCCTAACAACATGCCCAAAATAGATGAGAGGAGCGTTACCACCTTGGCCTCCAAAGAGCAGCCTGGTTGCATTTTCTTCAGGATCTATCTGTTTGTTCTTGGGGCAGACCAATGGAATATTCAGTACCCTTCTCTGATACCGCAACTCAAAAGGCATTGATTTCTGCCTTTTTCCAAGCGGCCGGAAAGGTGACGGAAATCCAGGCCGAGCGCCCTACCAGAAACAGCTGACCATCTTCCTGAACAAAAAGAGTCCTGGTGGGTGAAACCGGCAGGGAGAAGCTCCCGCGTTATTACAAGAACATCGGTCTGGGCTTCAAGACACCCAAGGAGGCCATCGAGGGCACCTACATTGACAAGGAATGCCCTTTCACTGGTACTGTCTCCATCCGAGGGCGAATTCTGTCTGGTGTGGTGACAAAGATGAAGATATAGAGGACCATCATTATCCGCCGAGATTACCTCCACTACATCCGCAAGTACAATTGCTTCGAGAAGCGTCACAAGAATATGTCCGAGCACCTGTCTCCCTGCTTCTGAGATGTCCAGATCAGCGACACTTGTCACCGTGGGCGAGTGCCGGCCACTGAGCAAGACCATGTGCTTCAGTGTGCTCAAGGTCGCCAAGGCCGCGGACTCCAAGAAGCTGCTCCAGAAGTTCTGCTGGACACCACCATAGATGAAATAAAGCTATTTTTTTTCCCATTAAAAAAAAAAGGCATTGATTTCTCTTCTGTCATCCTCAGTCACTGTCTAACTTGGCTATATATCCTAAGTGAGTATAGCAACCCTATAATAGAGAGTAAAACTGCCTTCATAGGGTTTATGAGGTTATAAATCTTTACATGAACAGACCCGTCCAGCTCCTATGGGGCCACTGATGCTGCCAACCCAAAGTCACGTGGTTCAAATCCAATAGCTGTTCCACGGGAGAAAGATGGGCAGTCTTCTCCTATGCAGTTTACAGACTATGAAAACCTGAAGGTCACTTCGGAGTTTGTTCCAACTCGACAGTAATGAACAACATTTAATACATGTGCTGAGCAAACAACTCAAGAAGATGGATCCTATGGGGGGGGGGGAAATGTGGCATCAGAAATAGAGGAAGACTCAGTGACAAGCTAAGTTATGCAGGTGATACAAACGTGCTTGCCAAAACTCAAGAGAACTTGAAGGGCTCACTGAAGATCAAAGACTACAGTCTTCAGTGTAGATAACACATCAACAAGGAGAGAGCAAACATCCTCACAACTAAACAAACAGGCAACATCATGATAAATGGAGAAAAGATTGAAGTTGTCAAAGATTTCATTTTATTTGGATCCAGGATCAATGCTGCAGCCAAGAAATAAAAGGCTGACTGCACTGGGCACATCGGCAGTCAAGAAGCTTTTCAGAGAGTGTGAAAGAGCAAGAATATCAGTTGAAGGCGAAGGTAAGCCTGATCCATGATATTTTCAATATGCATGTGAAATTAGGACAATGACCCAAGAACACTGAAGACATGCTGCCTTTAAATTGTGGTGGTGGTGTTGGCAAAGAGTTTTGAATGTGCCACGAACTTCCGAAACAATAAACAATTCTGTCTTGGAAGAGGTGCCCACAGGGTGCTCCGTAGAGGCGAGGCTGGTGGAGCTTTATCTCACATATTTTGGGCACGCTATCAGCAGGCTCCAGTCCTTGAGAGGGACCCTCCGCTTGGAAAAGTGGAGGGTCAATGAAGAAAAGGAAGACCCTCAAGCAGATGGGACTAGCACAGTGACCACACAATGGGTTTAAGCACTGAGGGAATTGTGAGGACGGTATAGGGTTGGGCAAGGTTCCAGTCTGTTGAGTATGGAGTCAATATGGGTTGGAGTTGCCCTGATAACACCTAACAACAAGAGCAGCAAAGCCGAAGCAGTGGCAGTAACTTAGAGGCCAGAGGAACAAGAAAATAGAGATAATACGCAGAGGAGTTTGACCGGAGCATTGAGCATGTGTAGTTGAGAAAAAGTTTCAGCTGAAGAGAGAAATTATGGC